CAACACGATTTACTTAAACTTTCTTTTCTATTTTTTATTATTGAAGCTAAAAGATAGGTAGGATTTGGCAAAAGCAATATAATTGATGCATTGGGATCGTAGGGATGGGAGTAAGCTTTTTTGCTTCCTGAGAGCTAATGATTTTTCGCCTCTGCTAAACTTTTTGTATCTTCTACCTTGATGTTAAGAGGGTAACTTCACACATAAACATGTCCAAGGTTAAAAAATAATGAGTTATCAGTCATATTTTATCATCAATAGAAGATGGGAAGTAAAACTCCGTTGCTTCCTAAACTTGAGGAAAATGAAAGAATTTATTGTTTGCATGAGTTGTTTTTGGATAAAATACTGTGTGGCCATTTAAATTCACAATGGATTAATTGATACTGTTCATGCTTTCTTGCTCCTTAAACTTTATTGGATATACTTAATAATTTAATCTATTGATAGACTACTTACTCAGGAATTTAGCATATTTGTTGCAGCTTGCAACTTTATATTTTTCCTGTGGGGCTGAAGTCTTAAGTAGTCATCATTGTTTATCATATACTGTTAATACATACATGCACATCAATGCATATCTATTTAGCCATTTTTCTGGTTCGTATGATTAGTAATTCATAGCAATTAGTGGTTTTTATTTGTGCAAAAAGTGAATTTTATATCTATATTGTGGATATTGAAAAAAAACTCTTCTTGTATTGAATAGATGGTACCTGACATTGAATGGGGGAAGAACATCCGCATTTTATTGGACATTGGATGTAGTGATGCTAGCTTTGCAGGCACTCTTCTTGAGAAGGATGTTTTAACTCTATCTTTAGTTATGTTGAGCGATCAGATAAAATTTGCTCAAGTTCTTCTTGAACGCGGCATACCTGCTGTGGTGGGAAATCTGGGCACACGGAGACTCCCATTTCCTAGCAGCATTTTCGATGCTATTCATTGCAGTGGGTGCAATATACATTGGCATTCTAACGGTTTGTAACGAACCCAAAACATGTTCGGAAAACAACCATTTTTTTCCTTTTTAACCCTTTTTTAAATGATTTTTTGCTTTATGATGCAGGTGGGCGGCTCCTTCTGGAGATGAATAGGATACTACGTCCAGGAGGATACTTTATTATGTCATCTACACATGGAGATGCTGAAAGCGAAGTGGGTATGCTCATGAACTGACCTTAATATTAGTTTGTTGATGTATTTTCAAATTGGATTTGAGTGGTGCTTTTCATATCTTGCATCAAGTGCTGAGTTGAAGGACTTGAGGTTTTGAGAAGTGCAGTTTCATGCTGGTTTGCAAAATTGGTACTTCTTTTTCATGAAAGCAACACTTTACCTTCTGCCTAAACAATTGTTGCAAAATTGAAAATTCAGCTTCTTAGCTTTTGTTGGAAACTGATAGATCCCATTTCCATCCCACAATCTGTGCTGTATGATGCATTGCTTTTTTTTTTTTTTTCATCATTTGTGCATATTTACTATCTGATAGCTTCGCATCTAGTTCTTTTATAGCACTTCTTCGAATTTGAGAACATATTTGCTTGGCTGCTGAAGCTACTTCACATTCATTTCTTTTAGGAAGATTTACATATACACCACTCAATCATTATGTATATACATATCTAACACCTAAACTTCAATTTTCACATACAGTACACCTTACAAATATATGAGAAGTTGTATTTAATTTTTTTTTAGAAGTTAAAATAATGGTATTTCTTATGTGTATGAAAGATTTCGGGGTATAAGTGTAAAAAGTAAAATTTAGATGTTAGATATGTAAATTCAAACCAGAAAGTAATATGCTGTCAAAAGATGCAAGATCACGGTCTCGTCTTTTAATAATTTTTTCCTTTCACTATGCTTAAATTTAGTCAAAAGGTGTAATCTGCAGAAACCTTATAGAAATCTTATTTGAAAAAGTGGTTTGACTGATGTCTAACTTGCTGGAAAGCAATGCAGACTAATATGTATAGATGAGCAGGCTGAGATAAAATCATCATATATGCTATTATTTATCTCTAAGCTGCAACTGACATTGAGAATCGTAAACAGCTGGACTGGAATGGTCATGATGTGGCATGGATGCCAATTATATATTGGGAAAAGTGTAAAAATGATCCCCTGCTCTTTGCACGTGATCATTTTAGTCCTAAAGTCTATAAAAATGTCAATTTAGTCTCCCGGCTCTTTTAATGGAGGCTAAATTAGTTCTTCATGGGAGTATTTGAACTTGTATTAAAAATGTATGTGGATTAATTTGGTAATTTTATAGACTGAGACTATAATAACAACGTGTAAATAGTCAGGGGACTATTTTGGCACTTTTCTCTTTATATATTGGTTATTTTATGGTTAACTCGCACAATTATGCGACAGTTGTGGCTAAGTATTAAATTTCTTTGATTTGTTTTCCTATAAGTTGCGTAAAGTTCTATGAAACTGTCAGAATAATTTTCATCTTCCTTTTTAGCTGGTTTACGTTACATTTTGAGAGAGAAAACTTATTTGAAAATGAAAAATATTCATTTTTCACTCTTTATTTTAATTATTCCAGGCATGTCATCATTGACAGCATCAATGTGTTGGAACGTGCTGGCTCATAAGACCGATGAAATCAGTGAACTGGGCGTTAAGTTATACCAGAGACCAGCGTCGAACGAGATATATGACCTGAGAAGGAGAAATCCTTGGCTGTGTAATTGCGAAAGAGTTTCTTTTTCATCGAAGACCATGCTGTTTAATCAGCCATGCTGTTCTGTTTATTAATTGGAGGAATGATGCAGTACAAGATTGTGATATTAATGGAAGACAACGAAGAATGAAATAAGATGGTATGGCTAAATGGTTGGCCTCTTCCACAAGTTTGTTAAAATTATAATGTCTGTTATAATTATGATGTTATATTAAGTTATAATGATATTATATTCTACCATTGTTAATTTGTAATATTATGCTTTCATATTATTAAAGGTATAGTATTGGTGTAATAAACTTCCTCATATTTACCAAAAATTCATTCTCTAGCATATCGGTTGGATCATAGAATTCTATATCATATGGTATCATAGTTGAACCTAGCAAAACAAGGCCACCTTCTCCAAGGTATCAGGTGAAGAACTAAAGAAATATGTTAATCATACTGATGTGGAGCTATGGATCATTCCATACTTTATGAATTCACCGTGGGCTATTTGGGCTATCTCTTTCGTATCACTACTCGCTCTGTCCGCTGTGCTGGCTGCTTGTTTTTTTGTGCGTGGACGCCGCATTACCCATATTCGCCGGGGAGCTTCTCGAGTCCATGTTTTCCATGGAATGAGCAATCGATCGGTCGAAGCGATGCAGAGTCAGTTGTTCTCAGAAGTTTTACGAGGCGATAGCACGACGAAAACCTGTGCTATTTGTCTTGAGGATTACAGTGTTGGAGAAAAACTTCGGATTCTACCCTGCCATCACAGTATGTGTCATTCTTCTGGTTTAATTAGCATTTTGACCCCTTTTTTAATGTTTGGTAAATTATGGATTGTTACTGTTTACAACCTCTTGCAAGAAGAAAATCAACTCACCAAAGCAACCGTTTTGTTTTTAAAGAATTTTTGGGAAATTTACATACATACAACACAATTCTTATGTATTTACATATCTAACACCTAAAGTTAATATTTACACTTATAATACTTTGGTGTTATAAATCTATGCATGTCTGTATTTCATATCTAAAAAGTTAATAATTATGATTTTTTTTTTCATTTGATGTTAAAGCTTTGAGTCTTATAAATGTAAATATGAAAATTATTGTGCCAGATATGTAAATATATAAGAATAATGGGGTTTGTATGTAAATGCACCTACTTTTTTTAACCCAGTATAGTGTTAAAATAGTCCCCTGACTATTTACATGGGGTCATTTCAATCCCAAAACCTCTAAAAGTGTCAAGTCCCTAGACTCTTTTAATATGGGCTTTTAACCCCCTATTAAAATAACTATGAGTCGGGGACCATTTCTATACTTTTATTTGTTTTTTAGTCCATCCCCAATTCTTCACCAAAATTACACCCATCACCACATCATTTGGTATTTAGAGAATTCTCTGTTAAGCATTATTAGCTGACATATATGTTCTGGTTGCTTGAATTTAAACTTGATCAGCGCCTAAAACTCTTCATGTAGGTATACTCCAATAAGAACATGCCTGCATAAACTTCCTGCAGCCATAGAAGAGCGAGGTACTGATTGGCCTGAAGAGTGGCCAAAAAGGCTTGAAACTTTCCCTGAATGGCTTGGTGATTTGCAGGAAAAATTAGCTGCTGATAATGAGCATTGGAAGGCTATCATCAGCAAATCATATCTTGTTGGGCTGGGTATTGATTGGTCAAAGATACGCAATGCCATGGATATGAAAGCCATCTATGGAGGGTGTGTAGGCTCGACATTTCTTTCTAAACTCAGTTTAAGCTGATAGCTTTTCTTAATCAACATGATGACCAATTTAGTCCCAGTCTATAAAAATGTCAACTTAACCATTATACACTGCTATTATAAGCTTAAATAGTCCCCTTACTATCTTAAAAGGAGAATTACTTTAGCTTTTATTTTGTAACGTAAATAATATTGTTACTATCAAATTTCTCAGTTTTGAATCTTAGAAACTTGAGTATTATTCCTTTGCAAATACGAGTATTTTCACCGCCATATATTGAAGTTTTGTCATGTAATTCTCTCAGATTTGCAGCGGCTCTAATACCTCAAAAGGTTTGGGTTATGAATGTAGTTCCTGTACATGCTCCAAACACTCTTCCTATCATTTTCGAGCGCGGTCTGCTCGGCATCTACCATGATTGGTGTGAACCATTCAGCACTTATCCGAGATCTTATGATCTTTTGCACGCCGATCACTTGTTCTCCCGCCTCAAGAACAGGTGTGTACTATCAGTCTTTCATCAATGTTCTTCATTTTGTTTTTGTACCATCGCATTTGGTTTTGGTTTCTTTAGGAAGATTTACATATATATCGCTTAATTCCTATGTATTTACACATCTAATACTTTAACTTCAATTTTTACATATACTCCACTTTTCCTATGCATGAAAAAAGCGAATTTCACCGTGTAAAAGTTAAAATACTGATATGCGTGGTATTAATATAAAAGATAAAGTTTAGTTGTTAGATATATAGGAATTGAGTTGAATGTTTGAAATGTCCTTTTTTTCTAATCTTCCTATAACGAAGGTCATGGCTGTCAACAGGTGCAGACCCAAGCTGAGTCCAGGGGGCAATTGTCCCTCATCAAATTCAAATTTTTACTAATATTAAAGAGTAATTTGGTCTTTTGCCCCTCCTAAAATATCAATTTTGCCCCTCCTGAAATATTACTGTCCTTTGTTGTCCTAACCACTCAAATACATAGTAATTGAGTGGTAATCTTCCTGAAACAAAATTTGCTAGATTTTGATCTCCAGAATCTCTTTTTAACAGGTGCAAACAACCCATCGCCATTCTAGTTGAGATGGATAGAATACTGAGGCCTGGAGGTTGGGTCATCATACGAGACAAAGCAGAGATTTTGAATCCCATAGAGAAAATATTTAAAACATTACACTATAATATAACTCTGACATTCACTCAGGACAGGGAAGGTATTATCTGCGTGCAGAAAACAATCTGGAGACCGTTGGGATGAAATTTGTTTTGAAAAATACTGTCTTGATGATCAGCAATGGCGGCTTCTCAGCTTCTTCTTCAATACATAACAGAGGTACGTTTCAAGGATTGATTTAGATATCTAATATAAAATTATTTATGTGCTCCAGCTACTTGATTCTCATGTATTTACATATCTACCGGCTAAAGTTTGATATTTGCGTATGTAACACTATGATGTTATAAACCTATGCATGAGAAAGTGTATTTTAGTTTTAGAACGTTAGTAAGAGTGTTGTTTTTTATTCGATGTCGAAGATTTGAATGTTATTTATGTAAATATTGAAGTTCAGTTGTTAGATGTGTAATAATATGGGGGCGTTTGCATACATACCATACAATTCTCATGTATTTACATGTCTAACACTCGAACTCTTATATTTAAATGCATACCACTCAAATCTAAGACATCGCATTAAAAGTACTGTCATCACTTTTTCATTTATAGGTTTATGACACAAATGTGTTAAAAGTATAAATATTAAATTGTAGGCATTAGATATGTAAATACATAAAAAATTTGTGGTATGTATGTAAATCATCCAAAATATATATGAATTGTATGATATGTAAATGCTGCAAACAATTTTGTGGCTCTGCTATCATATTTTTTATTCATTCCATGGTTTTATTTCTGCTCAATTCTATATGAGAACAATCCTAATAGAACAATCCTAAATTTTCCATACCTACCATTCAATTCCTATGTATTTACATATCTAACACGTAAACTTTGTTTTTTACATGCATACCACATTCCTTGTGCATGAAAAGGTGTATTTCACATTTTAGAAGTTTAAACTATTGTATTTTTTATTTGATATGAAAGATTTGGTTGGTATATATGTAAAAAGCAAAATTTAGGTGTAAGACATGTAGAGTTATAGGAATTGGGAGGTCTCTATGTAAACACCCCTTTTCTTATTTTATTTTAGGATGATCCCCCAAATGTTTAATCTTTCATTCTTCATGTTGTTTATCTGAGATTTGCATTGAATAAACATTTTTATAGTATTGCAGGCTTCTAGTAATTTATGTGCTGCATTTTCTAAAGAATAATATCGTGTATCGTTTTGATGTGCCACACTGTATCATTTCTGATGACGGGCTAACTTTCAATATCACCAAGATCAATCAATTCGCTCGTCAACATCAGATCGATTGACGGTATTCTACGATATACTACCCGAGAGCTAACTGTCTGTAAGAAATGTTTGTTATTGTAAATGGGGTATAATCTCCCATATGTTTAATCTTGATTCATTTAAGTTATTTTTTCTTATTTATTAGTTATATTCTTTTCTTATTTTTGCCTTTACATACACAACACATTATTCTTATTTATTTACATATTTAATCTCTAAACTTATATATTTACATGCATGTCTCTGAAATCTTTGACATCACATCAAAAATACTATCATATCTGATGGCTAATGTTTTTCTTATTAATGTTATAAATGTAAATGTTAGCTTACATGTCAGACATAAATTGAGAAAAAGTGGGTCATATGTGTGCAGTATTTCATGCATGTCACCCAATTTTTTTTTGTATTTATGTATCTAACATTTATGCTTCGATTTTTATATTTATACCACTGAAATATTTCATATCACATAAAAAATACCTCCATTTTAATATTTAAAAAGTGAAATACACATTTTACAGTATGGTTATGGTGATATGTACTTAAAATTTGAAGGTGGTTAAATATGTAAATTTATAGAAATTGAGTGGTATGTATATAAATCCTTAAAAAGGGAAAGA